GGGCAGGGCAGGGCAGGGCAGGGCAGGGCAGGGCAGGGCAGGGCAGGGCAGGGCAGGGGCTCGCGCGCGCCCTCTGCTGGGCACCACTGGCAGAGACTGGCGGGAGGCGAGGGGACAGGAGACTCACTGATGCGCTCCGGCACGAAGGGCACGAAGGTGCTGCGGGCGCCCGCGGGACGGACGGCGGTGACGTTGAGCACGTAGGGGACCGTGGAGAAGAGCTGGATGTCGGGGATGGCGCAGCGCGGCGCCTCCGGGTCCGGCTGTAGGCAAGGCTGGCTCTCCCCGCGCGCGGCCACGCCAAGCCTGCACACGGGAGGCACCGTGAGGGTTGCCGCCCGCCCCGCAGGCTGGGGGAGCCCTGGGCGGCCGGGGTTCGGGGTAACGCAGCCCAGGAGATGCTGGGCTCTCACGGTCCCTGGACACCCGCGTTCCCACTGCTGACCGTGTGGGGTCCCACGGTGGAGTGCGGGTAGGCCGGGCTGGTGCTGGGGTCACAGCTGCACGCCGCCACCCCGCAGCTCCATTCCAACTTTTGAATCCTGACATTGGGGAGGTTGGCCATTCTGAGATCCGGCTTTTTTATTTTTAAAATTGCCATTTCTGCATTATCAGGCATAGAACCTAGAGACTCCGGCTTGCTGGGCAAGCTTTCTGCCACCGAGCTGAGCTGCGTCTCCAGCTCTTTCTATTTTACTTTGAGACAGTATCTGGCCAAGTCTCCCAGGATAACTTTGGAAGTTGAAATCCAGCTGTGGTTAAAGGGCTATCCATGCACTTGCCTGTCACCCCAGCATTAGGAGCCTGAGGTAGGAGATTTGCTTTGAGTTCAAAACCAGCCTGAACAACTGGCCAGATAGCTGAGTGGATTAAAGCGCCTGCAAGCAGGAGCAGGTGTCAGGGGTTCAATCCCCTGGACTGCTGGGGCACGCTTGTAATCCCAGCTCTTGGGCGGTTGTAAACAGGTGGATCACTACAAATCCGATCCAGTAGTGAGACCTTGAACACCCTGTAGCCCCTTCCCTAAAATACCAAAATAAATAAATAAAGACCATCCTGTGCTACAAAGTGAATCCAAGGCCAGCCTGAACTGCATAGCAACACCCCATCTCAAAAAGACAAAAAGAAAGAAAGAAAGAAAGAAAGAAAAAAAAATATATATATATATATATCAGGCAAGGTACGCGAGATGCCTGACGTCAGCCTATGAGATCAGTGGAGTATCATGTGCTAGAAGTTTCTTGCAACATTCACAACATTCTATTTCCTTTTACGTACTTGTCATTCTTGTGGTGCTGGGGATGGAACCCGAGTAACTTTCCATGCTAAGGAAGTGCTCATCACTGAGCTGAAACCCCAGCTTGAAACTAATATTTTGAAAGAAAAAAAAAAAAAAGGAAACACACAAAACAGCATCAAAAAAGAAACTAGTGTTTTTGTATATTCAGCTCATACTATATTGAATTAATTTATATTATAAATATCTGCATGTAAATCAATGGTA